ATAGCATACGCTTATTCATTCTTTTATGACACAAACGCATTTGTCTTTTTTTTTGCACACATACTTGTCAATGTTTTTGTAACACACATCATTCAACAAGTTGACATACATTAATAATATTTGACAGCTGAAGTTTATAACTGTCGTGCCCTAGCTGATTCATGTGGTGAATGTTTATTGCTGGATCGCAGGTTCAATTGCGTGTTTTGTGATAATTCATTCTGCACTCACCAATGTCCTGTTCATTACGTCCATGGGACTTCAAGTTTTTGTACCAATCCTCTTATTAATTCGGTGAACAATTTATCTTTTCATTTTTTAATTTTTTCAGAAGAATAAATAATTTGTTCGCCATAGATAAAGTTTTGTTAATATTCTGCTTTTTCGAAATAAAACATAGTTGGAACCTCCCGGTGCACCTTTGAACAGTGTTGGCACTGTCTTGACCCTAAACGGAATCAATTTACCGTTTCAGCTGTTGGACTCGTATGTCAAAGTTGGTGAAAAGTTTTGCAACTACTCAAAACAAACCAGTGATTTGTTTCTGCCAGCAAAAAGGTTTTTCATTGTAAAGTATTTTTTCCACTGCAAACAATTCGCTTATTTAATTTTTTTTTAAATATCAAGTTTTTGTTTGTTTATTTTTTAGTTTGTTCGGCGTTCATTCGTTTGTTTGTTTCAAGCAGAATATTTAAAAACACTCTTTTAATTAGGCTTTTTGTAATGCTAGTTATTTTTTTGCTTTTATTTTCAAAAAAACATTAAAAAAGTGTTTACAGCAATAAATATTATATTAATGTTGTAAAAGTGCGGTAAAATTAAAAACATACATACCATTTAAACCAATAAAATCAAATAAAACAAACCCGTCAAAGGCCAGAAATAAAAACGAGCAGTCAACACGCGCCATAATGCACAAGCAAAAATAGATTGTCGATTAGAAAAACTAAAAACCTAAATTGGATGTCAGCATCCCGTAAAACGCACCCGAAATCGATCCCGCAATGGCACTACTCAATACCGGCCACCTACGTTTCTAGGAAAACAGACGACGCCTTTATCATTCAATCTCTCAATATATCACTGATTCGTTAACTTGATACACTTATGCTACACTCAGATGAAAACACGAACATAGGCCATAGAGCCATTCATAATCTCGATAAAGGTTTGCTTTAGACAAACCTACACCGAGCTTCTTGTGCTCGAAGCATCAGGCCTTCTTCATTTAACGGGAAGAAGAACGAAACGCCTCATTGTAAGGGAGCTCATCACTCATGCACTGCACACATTCAAACTGTACACATGCATATGCAAATACATACATGCGTAGTTCTTTTTACTTTTTTTTAAATTAGACCTGGTTATTGTCTTCTCTACCGAACATGTTTGCGTACATTATTTGAAATAAAAAAAGTGTTCAAGTTTTATTTAATTTTATTAATTTTTTCAAAGTGAAAGTTATGTCTTAGAAAATGAATAAAATATCAAAAAATAGGATCAGCTGCATTGTAGAGCCGTCATCAGTTGACTCTTCAGTTCCCGTAACTTTAGCCTCCAAATATTCTGTCAAATCTTCAGTCAACTTCGTTTTCAAGGTTCTCACTTTTTAAATTTATCCAAAAGATATAATTGAGTTTAATAGAAAGATTTTTTGTCACAAAGAATCCAGATCTGCTGAGCTTGCACCCAGTCAAGGGGCCCAGGTCAGGTAACACTTCAGTCACGGTTTACGGCAACCTTCTACATTATGGAAGTTCTGCTTTTGTCAAGATCAACAAGAAGAAAGTGGATGTCGTTTGGTCAGTTCATATTTACTGTTCACGGATGTATATATAATATATAATTATCCTGATAATTACCCCGACTCACTGGTTGTTTTGCCATTTGTATCTTTAGAATTGATATTGATTGATAATGGCCTTTTGTAATTGAAAAACTTCAATTGAAATCATTTATTCAACTAGGCGAAATGCTACCGAGCTGAAATTTCTGACGCCACCGAACGATGCAACGGCACAGGTGAATGTGGACGTTTTCATTGATGGCGTCATGTTGCTCAAGTCAACTGAATTTGTGAAATACAACTACCTAGACGATCCCAGCGTCAACACCATCGATCCCCAGTTTTCTTTACTAAGGTTAACAGCCGAGAAATGTTATATAAGCGAAATGCTACCAGGCTTAAATTTTTGACGCCAACAAAGAATGCAACAGCCCAAGCATTTCGCTACATGAATTTTTTAAACCATTAAATATTTATTACCTATTGTCAAACAGCGGGGGCAACATTGTGGTCATCAGGGGCTCAAATTTGAAAATTGTACAGCACCCGCAGTTCCTTGTGCACCTCAATGATTCCCACTACGTCTCTGCGGTCAGTTTATGTTTTCTGATGAGTTTATTGGCGTTAAATTAGTTTTTTTTATTTTATAGAATTTAATTTTTGCGAATGATTGCACAGGGCTGCAAAATAACTCACACCAGCAGCTTTTTGGAGTGCTTCACACCCGATCTCAGCGGTTATGACATAAAACTACCGGCTAACTTGCACTGTGGCCTCATCATGGATGGTGTCAAACCCTTAATCAAGTTAGACAGGATGATTCAATATGCTCAAGATCCCATCATCACATTCTTTCATGATAAACCTTTTGTTTACGACAAACAAAGAAACCATATTTTGTATATCGATGTTAGTAAAGTTTTAATTTATTTAATTAAGTAACATTTTGATACCATGCATTATTACTGAGATATGTTGAGTTGGTTTTTCAATGCTTCTTTTTTAGGGTCACACAGTTTCTGACGAAATGTCATTGGTCATTAGGCTCAGTGTTACTTAATGAGCTTTATTTGTTATATATAAGAATTCTTAGTTAAATTGAAACCAAACGGTTATTTAATTTATTTATGCGTAAAAGTTTAATTAGATACCTTTCTTCCTCGCGTGTACAGGGTGAAAATTTGTCTGTGCTGCATTCGTTCACTGACCTCATCATCGAAGTCGGTGGTGCCCCATGCATTGCACACAAGTTTATCAATGATTCATGCATCATGTGCTCCTTACCAGATGAAAGCAAAATCGTGCTAGATGAACATGAAAATGCCGAAGTTGTTGTAAGTATCAATGAAAGATTTGTTGTGTGTGTGTGCGCGCGTGTGTGTGCGTGTGTGACTTACAAAACTATTATATGTGCTTTAATTTTTAATCATTAATTTTGTTTTGAATTTGCCTTTTGTCCACTACGGTAGTCTTAGTGCAGTTCTGCATTTAAGATGTTATTCTGTATTGATTAAAAATTATGAGAATAAAAAACAATCTTTCCCGAACTGAATGAAAATGCTCCTTGGTGATGCAGTCAGAACTAATCTCGTCTGATGGTAATAACAAAAACTAATAATATTATCAAAAGCGTTCTAATGAATGAATGAATGAATAAATGGTGACTGTTAAATTTGCTGTTCACATGATGGCAGGTCACCCTGGGCAATTACAAAAGATTTTTGGGAAATGTAGTATACAGGAGCAAAGTGCAGTCGCATTTGTTGATGATCATCGTCATCACTTTGGCTGTCATCACCACGTTGGTGGTCGTCATCATTCTACTCATTTGCTACTTCAGGAGAAGGAGGAACAGATTGAAGAAGTAAGATGTTGTATGATTTCGTTAGTAATAAAGGAGGAAGAAATGATAATAATATAAGAACTAATAAATCAAATGATTGATTGGTTGGTTGGTTGGTTGGTTGGTTGGTTGGTTGGTTGGTTGGTTGGTTGGTTGGTTGGTTGATTTATTGATCAACTGATCTATTAAATAATTGATTATACATTCAAAAACTTTGATGAAAATTTGAGCAAGTAAGAAACGTTACGTACATAACTTAATGTAAGGAGACAAATACAGATAAGATAAGAAAATTTACTAGCTTTAAATGCCCAGGCTCTCTGTGGAAAGTCGCTTTTTTAATTTTTTCACATTTACATTTGAAAATTGTTTTATTTTTCTGTTTACAGCAAGAAGAGAACTTTTCTCTTGAAGCCAGCAGACACCTCCACCACCCATGTCCCACTATCAGAAATCTCGACTCCACCGAACAGCCGTTATCTGCCTTTCACACCTCCACATCATACGGCGTTGGATACATTTGCCAATGGCCAGAGCATATGTGACAATAAAGGTATCCGTCCATCGTTTCATTCATCCATCCATCTATATATCTATCTATCTGTTTTTCTGTTTCTGTCTGTCTGTCTACCTGTCTGTCTAAGAAAGGTATTCTTATCTATTAATCTCTGTCTGTCTGTCTATCTATGTCTAAAAAAGGTATTCTTATCGATTTTCAAATTGAATATTTTTCTGATTTATGTTCAATAGGATAAATAGCTTTTTTAGTTTTTACCTCGTTAACGTTTTCTGCCTATTGCTCACATGCAGATGATGCTACGTATTTGAACGAAGTTTTGAATCGAATGGAGAGTGTCAGACTAAGGAATGTTGCACGGAATGTTTGCATAGATCTCCAACAAGTCCAACTGCTCCATCTTATTGGGAGGGGTTTGTTTCAATATAACCTTATGCGATTCTTTGTGGCTTCCTAATAAATTACAACCATGCTTTGTAGCTAGCTCGTTATGACCTTCTAATGGAAGATGTTTTTGTTGTGCCATTGCATGATACGTCATCATTATATTTTTCGTGCTTGCAATTCTATAGGTAACGGTTGTTTTGTTTTACAGGTTGTTTCACCAGAGTTCACTTAGCAAATATGAAATCTCCAATAGCGAATGGATGTGAAGGTCAAACAGTTTGTGTCAAGGTCATTGAGGGTCGGTAGTCTTTTAAATGTACTGATCGCTTTTTTCATAGACGTGCTCGAAATTTTATTGTGATAATAGAAATTAAATATTTTTTTAAAATTAAATATTTTATGTAAGTAATTTTTAACAATGTCAGTTAAATTTTTGATGATTAACAGAAGAGAATTTGAGCGAGAAGATGATCGACACCATTGTCCGCGATTCATCCATCATGAACAACTTCAGACATGAACATGTTCTTGTCGTCATGGCAATCTGTGTAGGGTTCCGAAAAGAACCGTGGATTGTACTACCCTATATGAGCAATGGAGATCTTAGATCGTATATTAAAGACAAATCTAAGGTCACTTGTAGATTTGTACGCATAGGAAGTATGGTGTGAAGTTAACGCATTGATTGATTTGTTATAATGGCAGAACAATTGCTTGGTAATAATATAGGCTTCATATTTATCCGTTACTGTAGTCAATCTTAGTCACCTGTTTGGAATTTTTTGCTAATTTATCGTCTCAGTCAGGAACTGCTTATAAACAAATAATCCATTTTCAATTGTAAACACTTGATATAACTTTTGTTGAGTTCAGCTGAAGATTTGTACTTGCTTACGTTGGTGTTTGAATTGTTGTAATCTTCAATCATTGGCATAAAATTAAACAACAACGTTGCAGAACTTTACAGCTCGACAATTGTTGCAGTTGGCTCAACAAGTGGCTGGAGGAATGGCATACTTATCAAATTTAAACTTTGTACACAGGGAACTTGCGGCCAGAAATTGTTTGTAAGTATTTTATTTTTGTTTGTTTTAATTATCAGAGGTCTTACTCTTTAATTCATCACTATGACTTTATTTTTATTTATAATTTTGTAGGCTTTAAATCGTGAACTAATTTTATTTTAGGAACATAATAAATTAAAATTGGTTGCTAGGGTGATTCCACGACATATGTATATATTTTATTTAATATTTTCCAGTAGTTTTAATTCAGATGATATCACTGCTAGACTGCTAAATTTTACATATTTCATGTTTGTAATATATGAAAAATGCCATTATTTTTTATTAAGATATGAATCGTTGATGAATGCATTAATAATCCATGAATGAATGTTAGTGATTAATGGTTACTAATGAATTAATCAACTCTAACACAACGATACCTTTTTAAGGCTGGATGAAAATCTCACAGTGAAAGTTTCCGATTTTGGACTGACCACTGAACTTCATGAAATAGAATATTTCTCAAACAACGCTTCTAAATTTGTTCGTCTGCCAATAAAATGGATGGCAATTGAAAGCCTTGAAAACTTCTTGTTCACAACGAAATCCGACGTGGTTTGTGTTATTTTTATATGAGGGACTGTCAGGAAGATGTTATGTTATGCCTTGTAGAAAGTCTTATGGTCTCATCATATTAATATAAAAATTTCTAGTTTAAAAAAGTTTTAGCGTTTTAAAGCTTTTATGGATCCTATAATAAATTTTATAAAAGTTTTAAAAGTATTTTATAAAAGATTTAAAGTTTTAGCGTTTTAAAGCTTTTATGGATCCTATAATAAATTTTATACTGGACGCTGTGTTTTTTGGGCACATTCTTTCGTCCATTCTCTTAAATTTTTGTAATCGCAGCTTCATCAGCGCTTCAGTCTGAAAATGATTCTTCTAAAATCTAAATCGTCATTTTTTGATTTAATAGAGAATTCGTGGTAATTTTTTAAGCATCATGCCAATAATTTGATTGTTTCGTTGTTTTTATTGATCGATAGTTTTAAAAATTTGAATGTTTGATTTATTTATAATTCTGCTCGTTTCATTATTGTTTGTATTTCTTTCAATTATCTCTAAAGTGGTCGTATGGTGTTCTTTTGTGGGAGTTGATGACACGCGGGGTTGTTCCCTACCCTGATTTACCTCCTCAACAAATCACCTCATTCTTAAATTCTGGAAAAAGACTCAAAAAGCCTAAATACTGTCCGCCAAACGTGTTAGTATATATTATTTTTCAAGTGATGTGTCCTGTAGAAAATTGATTGCTTTACACTTTATTCAGTTTAAACTTATTAGCTAATAGTTCTTTCTTATTATTTGTAGACTATTTTATTTTTTACAAACTTTTACAAACGACAACTTTGTTTCTATTTTGAATATTTGAGCTAGATGGTTTTGATAAAGATTCATTCATGTCAAAAATAAATTTTCTTGAAAACGTTAGTATGATAAACCAGTTAACGTTACTAATTAATTAAACACATTATTTGGACTGTTTCTACTCAAGGACGTAATTTTTTATGACAGGTATGCCATGATGAACGATTGCTGGCTCGAAATTCCTGAACGGCGACCAACATTTACGGATCTGGTTAACAGGTTGGAGGTCTTGTTGAATCCTCCGAAAAGGAGGCGGGTCAGCCAGAAGGAAGATGATGAGCCTCTCTACATTAATGCGCGTGATAATCTTTCCCCTTCATTGTGATACCCAGTTTAGGTTTACAAATTTCGGAAAAATTTTCATAACATTTTATTATTCTTTTATATTTTGCACGTAGTCATTGTCACAATACCCCTTACTTTGATTGATGCTACTTTTAATATTTCAATAACACTCATATCACACTAATTGTTTGCTTTTGGTTCGTTTGCGTAAAAAAATTATGAATTTTTATTGTCAATTGTCGATTGATTGATTGAATTTACATCCAATTTTACATGTGGCTGAACCAACTTTTTCAACTGAATTGGTTACATTATTTTTTATTTAAATGTAATATGTTCTACAACATACCTTTGAATTTTTTCCAAAAAAATTTACAAATTAGATTTATTATTTTTGGTCAAGTTTTTTGTATTGCATCATATTTTTATGTTTTGATTATTGAAACTTTTCAATTTGATGTATAAATATCTATTTACGTTCATTTCGTTTTTTTATGGATGATTTTTATTTTACTTGCTCTTAAAAATTGTGCCAACATTTATTGGTTATTAGTTAAAATGAAATTGCATTGTTATATTATTAATACGTTTATAATTTTATATTTGTGTATAATGAATGTTTGTGAACAACTGTATATTTTTGGAGCCTGGCACCTACATTTTCCCAGTATCATGTCGTTAAGTGCGTGTACCAATTAAAGCCGAAATCATAAATTAACATTAACAATAATAATCATAATCCGAAAAATATTTTCGTTTTGCCATTAGTTAACTTTTATTATTTACATTGCTAGAAATCATATAATTTTTTTTTGTAATGCACAAATGCCTCGCTCAAGGTTGTAATTTACAATTTTCTTTTAATTTGTAATTTACAATGTTTAACCTCATAAGAGAAAACATCGTTTTGGTTTAAATTTTATACTCCACTGTTCATTACAGTGTATTCAGAATCTTTCATATTATTAATTTGAAAATGCGAAATCAAATCTTGCGTTGCGAAATATTATTAAGTGTAAGTGAGCTACTTAGTAAAGTATGTATTATATGTGCGCTTATGTATGTTCATCATGCCTATTTGTCCTTATTTAATATTATATTTAAGCTATAAATTTATTTATATGCTATAAATATATACAAATTATATATATATACATACATATATATATATATATATATATATATATACATTTATTTATTTATTCAAGTTAGAGATTAACAGATTGTTTGGCAAGAAGTTGAAATGTGACATCGGCCATTTGAAGAGCCAGTTAACCGAAATTTAGAAAGCCAGCTTTTGAGCACTTTATGTAAAAATTAAAATGTTTAAAATAATTTATTTCAATCGTCTCGTATTTATGTTTCAAAATTTTCCGTATTAGCTTTAAATTTTGTATTCGACTTCGGGCCGAATAATGAATAAACTTTGGTGCATCTCTAATATATATATATATATATTGATAACACTTGAAACACTAGGTGCTTGCAGAAATGCCTTCATAAGCATATTGGAGGTTTTTTTTTACATTGATCGTTTACGCTAATTAAATAAAAATTATGTTGACGAAAAATATTTTCAGTGCAGTATTCATTTATATGCATGGCTGTTTTATTTTTAAATATTTTTGTAATTAATAATTTGAATGTAATTTAAGTTTTTAAAATTTATTTTTATACAAATATTTTGTTGTTTATTTTTATAAAAAAAGTTGTCATTATGTCCAAGAGTTCTTAATGAATGTTAACTAACTTAACAGTATTTTTCGTAATTATTTTGTGAAAGCTGAAAGCTGTTAGTGGTTTTTTAAGTCTTTGAATGGTGATGGTTGTTTTGAAGACGTTGGCTTTGACTTAATGATTTGTTTGGTTTCTGGACGTGATGGTTCACCTCTTGGTTTGTGTGAAGGTGTATCTACTTTGGTCAAACCTGCTTGGTACTCTGGATGAAGGCGATTGTTGCTAGAGGCTTGTACCAACTTTGACGAACTTTTTGAAGGTATTTTAAGGACTGGTTTTGTTTTTTTAGGTAATATTTGTGGTTTCTCTTTCGTTTTTGACGCTGGAATCGGTGATGTCACCGTTGACGACTGTGATTGTGTCGGAGTTGTAGGTTTCACTTTTGATGGTTTCAGTGTTGCGTCAGGTCTGCTTGAATTAGAATAAATGACGGATGTATAACAAAGCCGATCACTATTACCCTGATTTTTGCTGTCATGACTATGATCGAATTTGTCTTTATCATTGTTACCATTCAGGCCATTCACTTGGTCTATATTACTCGTGTGAACGATTTGGGAAGTGTCAGTATTGCTGATATAAACATTCTCGTACATTCTAAGTTTGTTGGAATCCTTTACAGCAACCTTCTCATGTATTGTCGATTGATCGTTTATTATTTGCACATTTTCGTAAGTATAGCTTCTATTTGTTGTCGAATGTTCGATATGTTCAACTAAAATTTCTTTGGGTGATAAAAATCGTTCATTGTTTTATTGAGTAAGGTAAGTTTCAACGTAAATTTTCTAACCTTCGTAACCTCTGATGCCGTCAATCAACCTGTGTCTCACGGATCTACTCAGTGATGATATGTAGTCGTCCCACTCATCAACGCCTCCTGCTCGTAATCTTGAGGCCAACTTCACTGTTATGTCAGACGTGCATGGCAAAATTTTAAGTTGCGATTGGTCAATCCATCCTATCAATAAAAAAAACAACACTCTAGATCTTAAACATTTTAAAATTTATGAATTTTAGTTAAAATAATCATATCGTTTTCTATGGTGCACCCACACAGGAACACGGTTATCTTTTTTAGTTTCTACACAGTTCTGCAGCTCATATTTTATACAATATCAGGCTACACATGAATTTCCTGCTATGCGAGTAATGACTTTTATTTCATTCTAGTTTATATTTTATCTCTGAAAAGACACATTTTTGCACACTTCTCGTCATCTTTACCTTTCTTTTGTTTAATATTTTGATATTGTGTAAAATGTAAGAGTTGAGGTGTTTCTCATAAATGATAAATACTCAAAATACTTCAAAATTAAAATTGTTAAACAACAAACCAGCACTGATTGAGCTACAAACAACATAGGTTGAAGAAACTAATTGTTTCAGAATAATTTCACGGCCAGCCAGAATGTCATCTTTTTCAACGGCGTTGACGTTATTTATCATGACTATTACTTCATCAGAAGGTTTGCGTGTAGAAAAAACGTCTTCCAAATTAATTTCTGTGCCATCAACTTTTCTTCTAATTTGTAATTTTGATTCACGTGAGATGCTAAACAGATCCTTTGTTTTGAGATCTTGCAGTAGCACTCGCTGCTCAATGCCTGATTGATGGAGCATCAAACACTAAATTTTTGGGTGTTATTAATGTCAACTTCAAAATTTGAATAATTGAGTAGAAAACATGTTAATTTGTTCTTTTTTAATTAAATTGATTTTTGTGCTTTTAATATTTTTTAAAAATTCTTTTTAATTTTAAGAATTAAGGGATAAATGGCTGTGACACCGCAATAAAATAGGTTACGTTCGAATCAGATAGGTACGCCTAATGATTGAGCAGTGTCTTAATAGGACGGATGTATGCCAAAGTATACATGAGTATTATATGCTCGTCTGATGGTTTGGTCCGATTCTTATTTTTAATAATTTTCAGGTTAGGCTAAATTTTTTTAGCAGACGATTTGGACAAGCTTTTCACGTTATCTTTCGTTAAAATAAGACTAAATGTTGAATAAATGCTACCAAACGTGAATAAATAATTGGATAAACAAATAAATATACAGGCCATCTATATATGGTAACCAACAGTGATGATAAATAATAGAAAACCTGTCCACTTTGGATGTTTTTCCATGGCTTAACATTCATAACTTTGATAATAACAGGAAAAGGAGTAGAACGCGATACCAGCTCTTCAAGACTGATAATTTCATCACACCATTCAATTCGATCGAATGTTGGCAAATTAACTGAGTCAACCTGTTTTATTTTATGATAATAACAAATAATTCAATTGTGGTCAATAAGTAAATAAGTAATGAAATGAAAAAAAAAAAAAATCATTAGAGACGACATCAGTATTCGATAGTTATATCAATCAACCAACACATGATCAATCGTAAACAGATCGAAAATATCAATGGGACTTGGACTAACAAACCTGATCAGGAACGTCGGCGACCATTCCTTCAAATCCCTTCCTCGTCTTGGGAGTTTTATTAACTTTTACACATTTTTTACCTGCCTTAATTATTCCAAAAAAGGATATGTTTCCATTGGAGTTTAATTGTTTTTTGTTTTTAATCAATAAAATGTTGCTACTGGCGTCATCATCGTCACTGTTTCTGTTGGGACTGAATGGTGGTTCGTGTATTTTAGATTGATAACAGAATTCCCTATTTATTGTTGTCATTTTATTCAATTGATTTGTTTATAACAGCTAGCAAACACAAATAAATAAATTAACAGTAACAAAACAGGCCATAACATAGGTAAATCATATTGCGATAGTTATAAATTAATGTAGTAAACTACAAATAACTATCTTATGATATATGTGATATATATATATACAAATGTACACACACACACACACACACACACACACATATATATATATATATATATATATATATATATATATATATATATACATTGTATGAGTAATACAAATTTTGAAAATGACACTATGATTGAAACAGTAAAAATGTTAGTATAACTATATATATATATATATATATATATATATATATATATACATATACATATATAGCGATTTAAATGCGTGACAGCGAGCAAACCTGTATAATGAAAGACAGGTACCAAATGAATGCCAATATAGTTTATAATGAATATACGTGACGAGAAAGAGAAATTAGAAGGCAAACCGACTGACACAAACAAACAAACAAACACACACACACAAACAAACAAACACACACCTTGGGATTTTTGGATGATTAGACGACACACTTGAAATCTTACATTATTCAATGCACGTTGCACGTTCTTACAATATACAATGTTGATTTTCATTGAGTCTCATAGATGAATGCCCGTTTGGATAAAATAAATAATTGTCATGGCTCATTGATTCAGAATTTGATTAGAAGCCTAACTACATTTAAATATTCAAAATTATTGTATTAAACTTTAAACATAATTTATATTCAGTTATCTAAAACACGTACAACTATTGAAAAAATTAATTAAGAGATTTATTTTACGTGCGCAAGAACACATTTAAAGCTTCTGTGTAACGAGTTTTCATTGTTTCTCCTCGATGAAGAGGATCATCTGATGAAGGAGTATTTGCAGACGTTTAAAGTTTAAATTGCCATTATTTGTTTTTAAATGGACCCGGATAAAAAGTTCGACTTCGTGCGTCCTCCTGAATGTCCAGTCTTTGAACCTGATGCAGAGGAATTTAGCAATTTTGAAGAGTACATAGAGAAGATCAAACCTCTGGCTGTTCAATATGGACTGTGCAGAATCAAATCTCCCCCAGTATGATTTCGTTTTCTTGTTCTTCATAATTATATTAATATTAATAATTAATTGATTTCAAATTAAAATATAGTCTTGGAAACCGCCATTTGTTGCTGATCCCCATAAGTTCAAATTCACTCCAAGAGTTCAACGATTGAATGAAATTGAGGTTTTTTAAATTTAAAAATTTTTAAAAAAAGCTTTTAAATTTAATTTAGGAAATTAACATTTAGAGATTAAATAAACTGTCATGCCACTGTGTTTTAATTTGTTTGTACTTATATAACATAGTCTGCAAAACATATGGTTTTTGAAAAATATAATTTGGGATTTAGCTTTTTATTAAAAATTAAATAAAATGATAAGGGTATTACTGTATTATTAGCTGATAATGATACCCATCCAATGTCCAATCCAATGTAATGCTGTAAAGCAAGTAATGTTAAAAAGGGTTTAATCAACTTGTTTACCATTTCCTTATCCTAACCCTGACACTAATCAATCCAAAATGTATATTAAATATAAATACCATTTCAAACATGAAATCATTTTCTATTTATAAAAAATTTAACTTACAATACTTTTTATTTTTCTAAAATAGCTTAAAAAGGAATGTTAGTTAACAAACGTTTGCTAGCTTTCTACAAGTTTTAATCAAGGCTTGACACGCAGGATTCAAATGTTTTCTCTAGTCTAAAGACAGTCTGTGCAATGAAAAACTTGAACAACAGTAAAAGAAAATTTAGTTTTTAGATGGTTATTTAGTTTTTGAAGTGATAAATAGTTAATAATGAAAGTTAATAGAATAGTAACAGTAGGATTATTATGAACTCTTGAAGTTTTTATAATTATATGAGATAAAAAAAGGAAGCAATTTTTATTAAATATTTTCTTTAAAAAAAATGAAAAAGCTTAATAAGAGAAAAAATAAGTTAGAGAAAAGGATGTTTTAAATAGATTTTCATTTTAAACATAGTAGTGCAGTACATTGTGTAGAACCAGTTGTTATGTTCTAGCTAAATCATATACTTCATTATTTCTTCTATAATGTTCACATTTTTCCTTTCATAATTTTCAAATTCTGTAACTCGCTAGGTTTGTAGGCTGTCCATGATTTAGTGGCAAATAAATTGTACTGGCTTTAACAAACTTTTTTTGTGTTTTTTATTTAATTCATTTGAGTGTTATTTTAAAGAATATTTAAATCAGCTGGACTGTTTGCTAAGGGTTTGCCTGTCATTTTTTCTATGTTGATCCTTTTTCTGAAATTATTTTCAACAAAAGATTGTTTTCTACTCTCTAACTCATTTATTTATTTATTCATAATTTCATTTTTGTGTTTTGGTTATGTTTAAGTAATATTATTTTTAAATATTCAATTACTAGGCCAACACAAGAGTGAAATGGATGTTTATGTCAAATTTGGATAAATTTTGGAGTTTACAGGTAGTAAATTTTTATTGTTTGCAATTTTTTAGTTTTTCTAAAATTATCTGTTTGTTGTATTGATTTTATGCATAAAGAAGTCCGCATATCAAGTTTTAGTTTATTTAGTCAAAATGTATATGTTATTTGATTTCTTTCCAAATACATGGGATTTAAATTATCAAGTTTGAGGTGTTATTTATTTCACTGAACAAATTAAACTACCTAGTTGACAATGATAAGTGATAAACTAAAACATAAGTTACTAAATAATATCTTTATCACCTTCTATTATTCTCTTATATTTCCACTTCTCATGTACTGCAATGCAATTTGGGGTAACAGTCCAAATTGTCTCATAAACCTTTTGCAAAAAACCCAAAATTATTTCATAAGAACTTTATACAAATTAAATAGACTCGACTCGACCAAATCTTTTTATCATTTAAATAAAATCATAAACATAAAACAAATATATATAGTCCAATTAACATCCCTTTTTTTTAAAAATTGTCATGACTAATCATTTTCCATTTTTCAAGAATATAATTTTAAACTTTTTAAATTCAAATCCTTATTCATTAAGAAGAAATTTTGACTATCAATTACCAATCTGGCACACCAAAACTTATAAAAACAATTCTATACCTTTTGGTATTAAAGTTTGAAGTAATTTACCATCAAATCTAATTCGCTCTCATTTGAAAATATTTGCTAAAAGCATTAGGCAATTATTATTAGATGGTTACTTTGACATTTGTTTAAAATAATGATAAATAATAATTCCAATATGATTGTACCACTTGTATATTGAATGCCTATTTGTATGTATGTGTGTGTTTGTTTGTGTGTGTGTGTTTGTTTGTTTGTGTGTGTGTGTGTGTGTGTGCAGATGCCGATATATATGTATAGCTGTTTTGTGAGTGTGTGTGTGTTGTTTGTGTGTAAGAGCGTGTATGTATGTGCCTACATCATTATAACTTTTATTGTCAATTAAGTTTATTAATACACACATGTAAAACAATTTAATTAATTTACCATTCACTTGTGAGTAATAAAACCTTTCATTTTATTTAATGTTAGTATATCCTGGATAATTTATTCATTTTTATTTTACGTTATCCTTATGATGATGATAATCTTGTCCAGGGTGGTCCACTACAAAAATTTATTTTTTCTTCCGGGTCTCCTGTTCTCAAATTTTGTCTGTTCTGTTTGGATCAAATATATTGAATCGAATAAATTAATTTACAAATCCACTATCTGATTGGAATTGTTCTCAATTAAGTTGCAATAATCATCATTGAAGCTATCTTTGATGTTATTTATTAGTTTTGAAATATTTTGTATACTGCATTATTTCCCAAAGTTACATTTTAGAAAAAAATAAAAACTTGCGAATCATATTATGTTATTATTTTAATTTGAACATCACATTTGTGTGTATAATTAAACACACGTGCTCACACACCATGTGTATATTATTTATGTTGTCATTATATCATTTTTTTATCTTTATATAAGGGCTTCAAATTCAAGAATCCAACCATTGATGGAAAGTATCTGGACTTCTTTAAACTCAAGAAAGTAATCCTGCCCAATTTCATTTTATTTTATACATATATATTTAAATCATATTTGATTTAGGATCAAGTTTGAATTCACTTAAATTCATGAAATTTTAGAAATGTTAAAACTGTGCTTAAAAGTTTTAATTGTAATTTTAACCAATTGTTTTAATTTGTTTGCCAATCCTCATTCATACACCTGGATGATGAATCCAAGGTGATTGAGTTATGTGTTGTACAAATCACATCTAATGACCTTTGCATTACCATATGCATGTCATAAGTGCCATATAATATTATTTAAAGTGATATGAGAAATGTGAAAACATTTTTTTATTTGAATGCAAATCAGTTAAGCTTATATATATAAAAAAATAAAAAAAATAAAAAATATATATAAAAGCCTATATATATATAAAAAATAAAAAAATAAAGTTAAGCCTTGATGACCTTCAAGTATTAACATTTTGAAGAAATTATGTTTTTTTGATAAAATAAATGAAATATGTTGCAGACTGTGGATGAAGTAGGAGGATTTGAAACAATATGCACAAAAAATTTATGGATTGTTGTGGCCAAAAAGTTGGAGCTTTCAGGAAAGAAGGTAAGATCTATTTTGTTTGCCTAGTACTAGAAATGATGTATTTTTGATGGTTTATTTTAAATAATATATTTTCATTAAAACATAATAATGCTTCTTATTAAATGATATATGAAATATAATTTTTTATTCCAGGCACCTAGTTTGCTGAAAAGCCATTATGAAAAATATTTATATCCTTATGACATTTTCCAAGCTGGCATCCACAACCAGGTTTTTTACTATCTTTTTTCTCTGACAATTGCCTCTCAGAGCTGCTTAAAATATTTTTTTTGCTTGCTTAGTTTCAAATTAATGTTTGGTTCTAGAATGGCTTACCATAGCATGTGACTTGTAAACATTTTCATGCTAGCTTTGCATCATCTGCTGGAGATGTATAATATTTATCTATAAGTTTCACTCAGACACTTTTTGAACTATGCAAGTCATCAGCAGCAAAACAAGACAAATTTCATCTTATTTCTGACTTGTCAATTTTGTTATTAATATTTATCAACATTTAGTCAGAAACATCACTGATATTTTTTAATAATTTTTTTCAAACACTCATTAGTGTAAAAAGAGTGGTAATGGGTTGAAACATTCACTGGCAGAGGAGGATAAGACAAATGAAGATGACATTCCACGTAAGCGAAACAAAGTAATTTTATTTTTACTTATTCAGCTCAACTTCTATGTCTGTCATTTCTAATATATTTTTCAATATCTTAATCTTACAAATGATTCTAAAATTAATCTCTCGTGTTTTAATATATCAATATATCAATGCTTCCTGTTTTAATTAATTTTTTATATATAATCAGAATCTAATGATTAATCAATTTGTTAAATATTTTCATTAGAAATCTCAAAATTCAAGAAGTCAAAACAAGGATTACAAATGTCAAAGTTGTGAGAGAGGTGATGACGATGATGTGTTACTGCTATGTGATGGATGTGATGAGGCCTACCATACATTCTGCCTGATACCACCCCTCAGTAAAATTCCTCCAGGTGATTGGCTTTGTCCCCGCTGTGTGGCTAAGGTTCGTATTCTGTGTTGACTTTCATTTTTATAAAAATACTTATATGGATTTACTTATTTGTGGCAGGAATGTAACCAGTCACCAGCAACATATGGCTTTGAGCAGGCAGACCTTGAATACTCGTTGGATTCATTCACGAAAATGGCTGATGATTTTAAACGAAAATATTTTGACATGGATCCTAAAGTTTGTGTGTTTTTTTTCATATGACAAGCTGTGACTTATTTAATTTGGATACTTATTTTTGATAATAGTTAGTGCCTTGTGAAATTGTGGAGAAAGAGTTCTGGCGCATACTATCTGCAGGAGATAATGTTGTTGTGAATTATGGAGCAGATAATCCTGCCAATGTTTGTGGAAGCGGTTTTCCGATTTCTTCAAGTCCAGAAAACAACGAGGTAAATTCAAATTTTTCCTCTGTAAATCCCACTTGATTATTTTATTTTATTTTATTTAGGAATACGTGAAATCAAGTTGGAACTTAAATAATCTATCCATCTTACCGACATCTACATTGCGCTTCATTGAAGAGGAAGTATCTGGAATGAAGGTATTTCAATTATTAATGTATGCTTTTGCAAAGACTGCATGAAATAATTATTTTTAATTAAAAGCGAATGTTTTTGTATTATATTTTTTTACTGTTGAATATTTTGTAAAAAGATGTTTATTTCTAACCTGTTCTTTACATTTTTATTGTAGTTGATTGATTGTATATTATTAAATTATTTGATAGGTGCCTTGGTGCTATGTGGGAATGGTGTTTTCATGTTTTTCTTGGCACACTGAGGATCACTATTCTTACTCTGTGAATTATATGCATTGGTAATTATTTTCTCTAAGGACATTCAGACTAAACTTTACATTTTTATACTTTAAACTTTATATTTTTATTTCAACGATAAAAAAGAAATGAAAAATCTGCCAATTAGTTCAAAATTCTTTAAATGTTTGACAGGGGTGAGCCAAAGACTTGGTATGGTGTTGGAGGTGCAGATGCGTGCAAGTTGGAAGAATGCATGTTGCATCATGTTCCTGAATTATTCAAGTATTCGCCTGACCTCATGCACCAACTGACGACACTCCTCTCACCATCCATTCTCATGTCCTTTGGTGTACCTGTTAGTTTTGTATTACACATTGGTAGATGATATTGCATAACAACAAATTTATTAAATATTATGTTCGTAATATTAATAACAAATGCATTTATTAATTATAAGGGGAATGGTTATATTAACTTATTAATTTTATCATAAATAATATATTTGTTAAATGTTTTGCTTACAGATAACTCGCACGGATCAGTATCCAGGTGATTTTATAATCACCTTCCCGAGGGCCTACCATGCTGGCTTCAATCAGGGCATCAACTTTGCTGAGGCCGTCAACTACTGTCCTGCTGACTGGGTCTGATGAACATTTTCATGTTTAGTTCTTTTATAAAATCGAACCTGCATAATGCATTCAGCTTTCTGTATTTAAATTTTAAATAATTTTCTAAAAATGCAAAAATCAATTAACTTTGAAACATGTTATTTTTTGTAGATAAAATTGGGTCGACTTTCTGTTATTGAATATAAGAATGTCAAACGAGCCTGTGTATTTTCTTTGGACGAATTATTTTGCAAAATGTCCCTGCACTTAAATGAACTCCAAATAGACTTAATTAGAATTCTTTTGGAAGATCTTCAAGCTGTATTCAATTTTGAAAGCAAAATGTTAGAGAGAGCAGAGCTAAGTGTTAGTATATTTGTATTTAATTTGCTTCTTTGTCTCAGTTTGTATTGTTCACATTCAATCTTGATGTGGAGATTTAAAATTAACATTTAATTATTCATTGTTAATATTGATGATCAGTAAACAATCATTTATAATAAATTATAAAATGTCGGATTCTAGCAATCAAAAATTGAAACATGTCTTTTAAATTGTATTTTAATGATACAAATTCTAAGATTTATTTTAATTTTGCACTAATATTATTAGTATATGTACATTCGTGTTCAATTATCTGTAGCAGCACTTTCTGGATGCTTTGATGATTTATCAAATTAAAAACATGGCAGGGATTGTTAGCTTTTGTTGTTCCATTTTTGTATCGCTTTTGGTATAATTATTCCATTTGAGTGAAGATGTATAATTAAAACACCCTCTTAAATGTAACGATAGCAAATAATTCAACAATCTTTTAGGGGATATCGAAAAAAGAAAAATTAATATTTGAAGATCTGTGCGACGATGAGAGAGTTTGTTGTATATGTCAAACAACTTGCTTTCTTCATGCTGTCGTGTGTGACTGCTCAGGTGAGTTTTTTTCTCTGTCCATTTTATTATTAATGCCTTTGCCTATTTTTAACGTGTACTTTAGAACTGTACCAAATATAATTACATTGAATATATAATAGGAACAAAATGTACAAACAAACCACAAAATTATCATCAGATTTGTTTGGTCTTGAGGAAGATAGACAATGAACAATCTGAATAATTTCTAAATAATTGTATTAGAATAATAACATGGTAACATTTCTGAACGCAATGATGCATAATTATATTTATAGACACAAATACACTTACACTACAACTATGACATTCTTTGTTATCTTTTATCATATCGTGATAATCAGGCAACATTAATTCTTATCATTTTTACTAAGTCATTTACTAGTCACATAATAATTAATTACTTTATTTATTCGTTTATTTTTAATCATTATTTTATTTTCCATACTTCTCATGCTTAAACATTCTTACTCGTTACGTTGTTTCTTTTTTTGTCATCATTTCGTACTATTGCCTTGCATGTTGTAATAGTTTCTGCATCTGTACTTGTCAGATTTTGATTTTTTTTTAAAACAATAAAAAAATGATATCAGGTTTTTATGCATTCAATTTCTGGATTATATTTTTTCAGTTTTTTTTTAACTTATCAATTGCAGTATTGTTTTGTCACATTACTTGATTACCGCATTCACTTCTTTTTCTCTTCAACTTTTAGCACTAACATGACAAGAAGGTTTTTAGCCAGAAATTAATATTTAGTTATGTTGTGCATGTTTTTTGCGTGAAAAACTTACAATTCCTAGCAAAAATTAAGTACCCAGTCGTGCGTTACTTGAACAAGACTCCATCACCTTTTCCAGAGCGTCAAACCACATAATGAAAAATGCTTGAAAGATATGTTGGCCGTCGTTAGTGATGCAGCTACAGTTGTCCAGATTTTTAACAAATTTAAATGGCCTGCTGCTCTTTTGTCCTGCATGACCTACATGATCATTATCTTGAGTATCAGCGGCGAAATATTTGGTTTTAGTTGATACAGACGTTCAATGCTTAATTAGCGAATTCATTGGTGTTGGAAATCTTAGTAGTGTATAATGCTGTAGAAGAAGAAAAATGAAGGTGACAAATTAATGTTTAGATGTCTGAAGGCATCAACCTGGTTAAACGAAGTTACAAAATTTGGAGATAACTAATTTTTGACTTTTTAGGACGTTTTAAGAAAAAGTCTCAACATGGGAATAGAAACTGTTCATCCAAAATGAACTGCTCCATTTTTTAACTTTCAAATCTATATTTGATATGTCGTTTGTAAAATGCTATCAATAAGCTGTTTATTCAATTTAAATGTACACTAATATTTATGCTATTATCCCAAAAATATCTGTTAGGAGTCATGTCATGTTTGGAACACTCAGCGGACATGTGTGGTTGTAGTAACAACCATAAAAAAGTTCTCTATCGGTTTGATAGTCAGGAAAGGAATGGAATATTGGAGAAGTTGAGAAAGAGAGCCGAAAGATGGGATGGTTGGAAGAAGCAGGTGGATAAATTGGTTGGAAAAGACAACAAACCAGGTTACAACAATCCTATTTATTAGTTCATAAAAAAATAATTTTAACTTCATTACATGCCGTCAAAAATAGTTTATTTTATAATTTCTTTATTATATAACATATTTAAAATAAATACTTAAATACATTTCCAGTTTTATGTGTTTATTGATCTTTCATCATTGCATTTTATTTACATTAATTCATGTTCGGCTGTGGTTCTTAGCTGAAGGTGACTTGGTGATGGTTATATTTTAAGCTTAATTTCTAAACAAAGTAGTGTTAACTATTAAAAAATATTAATATGCAGCTCTGAGTGATTTAGAGAAATTGTTGGAAATGCACAGTCAAGCAAAATTTCCGGAGACAGAAACATCAAGACATTTGACAAAAGTTATGGATGAATGCAAACGTGTGGTTGATGAAGTTAGGAAAATAATGCCAGAAGAAGTCTCGGCTGTTGTACACACTAGGTTCAATGTTTTATTTAATTAATATCTTTTAAGCTGGCATGTTCTACCATAAACACTGAGAAGTTGTATTTGAAAGTTATTTTTTAAGGAGCTTTTGAATATAGATTTTAAGAGCATCGATTAACATCAATTAATTTTCTATTAATGGTTAATCATGTTCAATGGTTTAAACAAAAATAATAAGTGTTTACCATTTTTTTTTATGATGTTTTGATAAAACTAGATTGAGCTGTGAGAGTAATTATTTATTTTTTGACCGCAACCTTTTCAACAGAAGTAAGAAGCCAAAGTTAAATTCTGAGTTGAATGTCAGACCTACGTTGTGTACATTAATGACGTTAAAGGAGAAACTGGAGTCATTAGCGTGCATACCTGAGCCCGAGTTTGACTATGTTAATTCAACCATTCAGTCAGCTAATAATTTCATATCAGATTACAACAAAAACTTCAACGTTAATGAAATTGGCCCATTATCAAAGAAGGCCCTGTGTGAATTAATTAAAACTGGATCAAAAATTAACATCTGCCTAGAAGAAAATGATGCTTTGTTAAAAGTAATGCATTGATTTTGTTTGTTTATTTTCAATTTTATTGAGGATATTATGTGTAGCTAGAAATTTTATATGCTGTCAGTACTGTTGGTATGCACATGCTGCGAATAATTAATTGTTTTTGCGATTGTAGTTTTAATAAATAAATAAACGAATAATTTGTTTGGAGTTCCTTTTTAATCTAGTTATGAATCTGATAAACAATTCTCTCCACAGTTGTTTTTCTTTGCTTGAAAGATTTTAGAAAATTAATTTTCGTGTGAATTTTAAATTTAATCTTAAACTATTTAATAATCAAAAGTTGTTCTGAATTGTTAAACAACTTTCCACCAGATTTCTAATCAGTTTGAATGGGTAGATGATGTTGAAAACTGTTTGGCGAACTGCCCAGAACTTTCTGAATTGAATGAACTCGTAGAAAGAGGAAGCTCCTTGGTTGACCAGACTTCTCCTCAATATTTCATAGATGAATTCTCTACGTTGAAGCAGTTGTCTGAGGAATGTGCCGAGCTGGAGGATAGGTCGCACCAGATCATTTCATTAGTCACTGGTTCATTCATTAAGACACAAAAGTTAGTAGACATAATAAAATTTAATAGAAATAATGACAAATTTTCTTAAAACCTGATCAAAATTTGTAATCTTTTATTTACACATGAATAAACTTGTTAAAAAAATAAACTTTTTGCTTTTTAATTCTAGAAGTCGAGAGACTTTTACGACATCCGTGCTACAGGACATTATTGAAAAAGCCAAAAAACTGAAGTACAAATCAAATATTATTGAAAGTATAGAGGATATTTATCTGAAAGTTAAGGAGTGGGAAGTTTCTATAGAGCAATTAATTGTAAGTATAATAATTGTGTTTTCTTAAATTTAATAAGATTTCATCTGTTTATTCGTTGGATGTTTACTGTTTATTTGTAATTTTTCTCTTAACAGTTTATGCAGCTGCAACAAATGAATTTTATTAGTTATATATGTTAAGAATTCAGTTTTAAACTTGATTCTAACTTTTTTTCATTTTATTCAGTCATAATTATTATTTCTATCTATTTTATTTTCTATATATTTAAATTTATTTTCATAAGTCCCGTCCACACAAAATGCACTTGCATGAACTTCATGACGTCATAAAAAAAGTGGAATTGATGCCAATTGATCCAAATCTTATAGACAATTTGAAATGCATGCTTCAGCATTGTATGGACTGGCTCGATGAATGGAATGACGTTATATGTTCCATCAAGCCTACTTCTTATTCCCTCATTAATGTTTGTTTTGTTTGTTTGTTCGTTCGTTCATTCGTTTGTTTGTTCATACGGTTGATTGCTTATTTATTTAATACATTTTGAATGATGTTTGTGTATCTTATAATTTTAAAATGCTTTTGTATTTATTTATTTATTTATTATAATTTTAATTCAAATCATGTTTCCATTGTTTTAATTTTTTTTATTAAAATTTTTTGATTCACGAAGATTACAGTTATAATTATGTTACCATGCCATTAATATTATATTTATTAAAGAAGTTAATCAAACTTCATGATTACCAAGAAAAGAACTCAGGGATGCTGACCTGTAAGGCTGTAAGTTTTCCTTCAAAAATTTACAGATTATTGTTCATAAAAATTTTTATAGTTTTATATTAAATCAATAGAATGGTTATTATTTGAACAGATTTCACTAGAATTACTACAAAACATTCATTATTTGTAGCTATTATTTGTTTCACATTTAGAATTGTTGCGTGTCTGTGTCTCTTTTAAAATACTTCACTTTTAAATATTTCTTTAAAATCATATGTAACAGTTTTTTTAAGTTTGATCAAAAAGTCTTTATTTAAAATGTAGTAAAGTGCCTTTGTGGATAAATATTTTAACTAACTTTAATTAAACAATTATCTCAAATTGTTTTCTGTTATTTAGTTATTTTTTCTTAGAAGTCAATATAATGGTTTTAATTTTATACCCTTCTGCAGGATCAAGATATAGATGCTAGCGAATGCCTAGTAGCCATTAAAAATATTAGGAAGTACAATATCAAAATGGCCTCACAACAACATCAGATGATCTGTTCTGTCTGCGAAAATCCTGTAAATAGTGAAAATGCTGAAAATTCAACAAGTGGTCACATTGCTGCCTGCATTATTTGCAACTCTGTTTTGCATGGTATGCTGCCATTATTTCCGTGCTACGCTATTTTGTTCTGTCGAAATATCTTATAAAATTAAAAGACTGCTTGGAGTGGATATGCAGCTCCAAAGCATAATTTTAATCAGTGTTGAAATTCAAGTGAAATTATTATTTTTTACGAATTGTGTGGTCAACATGTACGTGTGTTATGTTATATATGGTAAATTAATGGCTTTTTTTTTAAGGCCAACAAATTAAAGATAGATGGTCGGAATATATCAAGGATCTGTTCACAGATAAAAACACGTATACAAAGGAGGTGTTACAGGCTTTAAAAAAAAGAAAAGTAGTCAATGAGGAAGAAACGGAAATAACATTGGAGGAAGTAATAAAAGCAATAAAGAAAATGAGGAACAACAAGAGCACAGGGAAAGACGGAATTCCCATAGAGCTGATCAAAGCGGGAGGACCAATTGTATGTAATGAGATTCACAAAATCTGCCAAGAAATCTGGGACAGTGGAAAATGGCCAGAAGATTGGTGTAAATCAATCTTGATCATGTTGCCAAAAAAAGGAGACCTGAAAGACTGCAACAACTACAGATCAATAGCACTGATCCCTCATATGTGCAAGATCATGCTGACGATCTTGAAAGAACGATTGGAGAAAGACATAGAGCAGCATTTAGAAGAGGAGCAGGTAGGTTTCAGAAAGGACAGAAGTACAGTCCAGCAAATCCTGATGTTGAGACTATTGTTGGAAGAGGCAGGAAGCAGAGGTCAAACAACTTTTCATTGTTTTGTGGATTTTAAGAAGGCGTTTGATTCAGTCTGGCACGAAGGTTTGTGGGCAGCTTTGGAAAGTATGGGAGTGTCAACAAAAATGGTAAGGGTGCTGAAAGGGTTTTATGAGGAGTCAACAATGGCGGTAAAGGTAGGTACAGAGCTGGGAGACTGGATCAAAGCGAGCATAGGAAGTAGACAAGGAGATTCAATATCACCATTACTGTTCTTAGCACTGTTGGAAAGAGCCTTGGAAAAAATGAAGAATGCAGATATTGAGGGAATCGACATTGGAGGCAGAGTGATAAGGGACCTCAGGTTTGCAGATGATATAGATCTGCTAGCATCTAGTGCAGAGGGTCTACAGAAACTGATCGAGTTGACGTACGATGGTTGAAGAAACCATGGACTACACATCAACAGCAGTAAGACAAAGATAATGATTTCGGAAGCAGGTGGAAACAATGTTGAATTCCAGATAGGAACAGAAAAGCTCGAACAAGTGAACCAATTTATATATCTGGGCAGCCTCATAACTGATGACAATAATTGTTCGAAAGAAATTGATAGAAGAATAGCAATCGCGAGAGGAATGTTTGCATCTTTGAAAGTAATATTGAAAAACGGTAATGTATCTACAAAAACAAAGGTAAAGATCGTAGAAGCGTGTGTGTTTTCTTCATTGATGTATGCATGTGAGGCTTGGACGTTGAAGAAAAGAGACAAAGACAAACTGGAAGCATTCGAGATGCATTCTTATAGAAAGTTGCTGGGAATCAGTTGGAGACAAAAGATAAGAAACGATGCCATAAGAAAACAACTTGGAAGACAAAAACTGTGCATGAAAGTGTCAAGGAAAGAAAGCTGGGTATCTTTGGGCACATCTGCAGAATGACAGACGACAGACTGATCAAAAAAGTACTGATGAGAAAGAGGGACTGGTAGAAAAAAGCTGGAAGACCTGTGAGGAAGTGGATGGATGATATCACGGAATGGACGGGGGTTGGAACATTGAGCTCAATGAAGATGGCGAGGGAAAGAAAAGGATTTTGGAGAAATAGAAGAATACCATCGGCCTCAACGGTCCCTTAAGGGATTACAGAGGATCATTGAATGAATGAAATGAATGGCTTTTTTTACGTTTGATCTGATTAATATTTAGATTAAGATAGCTCTTAAGACATGAAAAACAGGCAAACTTTATTTCAACCATCTTAGTTATTCAGGAAGAAGCAAAATAGATTTTTACGATTTTTTTTAGCTTGAATGATATAATGGACAACTTGCAGACTGACTTTTGACAAATGCGACTAAACGCTGATGGCTTTGATGATATGTGTCTGCGCGTGTGTGCGTATGTATGTATGTATGTATATATTGCCACTTGTGTTTATTTGTTATAAATTCAGATAAATGTCTCAGGGATTGGTTAACTTCTAATACTGCATTAAATGGATGTCCATCATGCCAACCAGCTGGAAATCATACTGATTTGCTTACATTGAAAAAATTGGTAGATAAATATAGAAGTCTTAAAATGTGTTTGTGGCAAGGTGAGATGTTGGTGTCATTGATCAACCACATTGACATTTGGGAAGAATCAGTTCGGTCTTTCATCAACAGTGATGACATGATTGCACTCATCACATCCATCATTCCACTAACGAAGTATGTTTTTTTTATATTTTGTTTTTCTTGATAAATTTTTTTAACAATTTTATGGTTGTTGTTTCATAACATATTTGACACAGAAGTTCAACCTTTTATCTTAGATCAGATCGATTCAACAAAGTCATCTTTTTTTAATTTGTTTATGTTTTTACACATTGTATCTATTGCTGAATGATTTAACTCATTTCAATTTTTTCAATCTTCTGTGTATCTCATTGTAAAACTATTTCTTCTTTTCGATTATTCTAACATTCTTTGCTATGTTAATTGAAGTGTTTGACTTCCTGACCAATCTCAGTCTGCAGTTGCAGATGCCGTTCATCGTATCAACGTGCTCTGGTAAATGAGTTGTAGAGTAGTTACAAAATATCTGTATATATATACAAAGCATATGTACTTTGGTATGCAACGTTTCATCATTTCTTTTATTTTTGGTGGTTTATTTTCATTTTTTCTTATTGATGGTTTTGTAATTCTGCTATTATAAAGCAAATTCACTTTGTTAATAAAGTCACATTGTATAATAATTAAACTGAAATACAAAAAGCGATTTTATTTAGTTTTAATAAAAATTTATTAAAGTTGATAAAAAAATTATTAAAACTAGTTAGCAGATAAATTTTTTAACTCAAAAAACTGTATGATAAGTGTCGATGAGTGTTGAACAGGTGCAAATAGTTAATAAACAAATTTTTTAAATTAATAAACGCAGATTGAAGTTTATTTGTTACTAATTACAATATGCAACACAGTATATGTTACAATATTACTATATATTTTTTTGTTCTAGGAACAGCAAGAATGTTGATATGGTGATGTCAGTTGTTCTTTCGTCATTTAATCAAGATTTCTCTTCGTTGTCAACACTGTCGTTAACATCGTTCGTCACAACATATGAAAAATTAATTGACCTTCTGTTGAATGGCTTTATCACAGATATCAATACGCAGACCACTTGTGTTCTGTCATGCTTGACATATTGCATTCAGGTTAATTTCAAGTTTTAATTTTATTTATTATTATTATTAATCGCATTCAAGATTTCATAGATTTTTTCTTGTGACCTAATTATTGACTCGATTTATTGACTCGGGTTGTTGAAAAAGAGGTGCTTAAGTCGCTTCTGGAATACATCATGACTAATCTTAATGTTACTATTCAGTTTGACGGATATGTCATTCCAAATTTTTTGCATGATAAACGAAAAACATTTTTCAAAAATGAGTAGAGATTTGAATAGCGGAAGTCAAATCATTCTAATTTGTCTACAAGCAAAGGACAATAGATTTGACAATAATATTTTTGTCTTTAGCTGCTACTTTTAATATGCTAACATGTATATCATATACGTGTGTGTGTGACCTGTGTATGTGAGGTGTCTGATTTGCTTATCTGATACTTATGCGTGTGACCAGTGTGTCGAAGCCCAATGAAAAATATCGTTTTCCAAGCTTTTTTTAAGAACATTTAAGATGTTCAAATGGCCAATTGAAGTTTCATATTCCACAGTGGTTTATCGTTGTTACAGAAAGGTTTTCATCTTTTGTTTTACAGGTCACATATGGGATGAAAATAAAAGATAAATGGAAGTTGTCGGTTTCATCTTTGCAATCATCATCACCCATATCATCTTTGTCCACCTCACCTACTTCATCATCTTCTTCAAGTAAAATAACTAAAGAGAAAAAAATCAAAAATGAAAGGAAAGTTAAGAAGAATCATATTGAAAGTTGTTCTCTTGGTTCAGCCTGTCAATTGCCTTCAAGTAATATTTTATAATTATAATTATCTAATGGGTTTTTGAAAATTTTAAAGATATACTTTTTTTTAATTTGTTGGGATACATTTAAAATTTTTCCGTTTTTTTGTCATAAAGTTCATAAAAATTTAAAGATATTTTAAAGGTCTTATAAAAATATTATCGCCAACTTTTAAAATTCAGCGTTGATTAACATTTCAATTTTATTAGTGATCTTAGTGAATTGAGAAAATTGTACTGCTTTGGAACGGTACATTTTGAACATCTCTAAGACCATTAAATTACGTATAAGAATAGAACTATCCTACTTGACCTGAACCTTGACCTAGAAGCGCTTTCGTCATTATATTGCATTTTGACTGTTGCGGATACTATCTCGAGGTTCCATGCAAAGTTATACTAAATGAGTGACGTCAATGTTTCCAGGAAACTTTATAACGGGTAGAATACACTAGGGCAATACCAGCATAAAGTGACATAACCTGAACATTTTCAATTTTCCTTGCATACCAGATACCATAAGAATGTGATGCCGCCTATTGTTATTCTGATTTAGCAGTCAACCGTAGCGAGCGTTTTTGGCACAACTTATTTACTAATTATCTGTCTCTGTATGGCGTAATAAAAAAGTATTAATTTGTAGCACGCTTATTGAGTGAAAACGCTAACAGTTCTGAAGTGAAATATTTTGGTCTAAAACGTCTGATGAGAGGAACAATTACGATGTTATCTACTTACACTTGCACATTTTTTAATAATTAAATTTTATTTCAGGTAGAAAAGTTGACTGGGTTCAATGTGATTTATGTGATCTTTGGTACCACACTATATGCTTAAAGTTGTCAATAAATGAAATAGATGTTGATGGTGTGTTTGTTTGCCCAATGTGTGAGACATCTTCACTAACTGTTCGAGAAGCTTCCTCTAGTCCGTCTCATAGCCCGCTGGTGGCTTTGTAATTCATTTCCATTTAAGATTTTGTCATGCGTATTTTTTAACTGATTTTTTGTTTTTATTTGATACCGAATAATTATGTATGTTGACATAAATTGTGAATAAACCAGTTTGTCTTGAATGATTAATCATTCTCATAATCAATGTGAAAGCCTAAAATGTTTGTTCTATGCTAAATTAAGTACCGCTCTTGTCTTCGGTTTAACATGTAATTGGGAGAATAAAATGAGGCAATTCTATTTTAAATTTCAGATGAGTATCGCTTATATAATTGATTTATAAGGGTTATCGTTAGAAACATGTAGTCATATTAAAAGGGCAAATGAAGGGATATTAATACCATACATAAATCGTAATACTATATATATATATATATATATATATATATATGCAGGCAATGAATACGATTTATCTTTAGGAAAATCGAAAAATTAAATAGCTAACTGACGCGGAACTTGCAGTGATTTTCATCAATAATATATATATATATATATCGGTATACGGTATATACTCATAACTAGAATATACAGTTAATACTAATGGGAGTCGCAAATGGTTCCTGGTCAAAGTTAAACTTATTTCCTAAACCAAAATTTTATAAATAAAATAGAAAAAGTATAAAAGAGCCAACACCACTTTTATATTTTTAATCCTTTTAATCGAAGAAAGTGTACCATTTTACTTTTACTATTTAGCTCTTTTGGTAATTCAAGCAAGTTGTTGCTTTTCAACTGTTTGTTATTTTATATGAAAGTAAATTTTGTTTGTCCTTCTCGGTACTGGGTCGTCGATGTCACTGATCGCTTCCGTTGCTTCAATATGCAGTTAGTACTTTTTGTATTCAATGTGCAGTTCGAGTTAGCAGGAGTGTTAGGCTTAAAAGTCCATGACATGCTGTTAGTTGTAGTGTGTGGTCTCAGTGCATACTACAACCCTGGTTGTTACACACTACCACAGTGGTAAAATATAAATTACATTTAGTTAAAATGAATCTTAATGTGTTTCCTTTTACATAGTCAGTAGTACAGGCAGTGTTTTGAATTTAATTTATTTATTTTAAGATTGCTCATGCAATGTATTCCTGTATTAAATCTGAGATCTACTCACATGCAAAATATTTATAATTTTTAGATTAGATTTTTCTCTGCCTGTCTATTCAATATCTATCTATCTGATATTGGGCTGACTCAACTCTAAACCTCTCTAAAGTCTCTCCGAGTCTGAATTTTTTTGAGAGCTCAGAGTCAGATTTTTTGTAGAGGCCGGAGTCTAAGTCAAATTTTTTTATCCGACTCTGGAAAATGTTATTTATTTTTTAAGATATTTAATTTTTTTTCCGAAAATTTTTTTTAAGATGTGTTTTTTAGAGGATAATTATATGTAGCAATAAGCACTCATCTTTAATACTGAAAATAAATGCTAATAATAATCGTGAATAAAATCATAATTTTTTTAGTATGTTATTAAACATAAAAATAAAGTAACTTTACTAAGAAAACATATACACTGACTGATTTTAATTGTTTGTTTAAAGTATTTTTCCTTTAGTAGAGATAATAAGGTGAAACTATAATGCAAAAGTTGAAAAGTTTTTCTGGAATTTGGAACCTGGAGTCAGGAATTAAGAACAAAAATTTTTATCCGGAGTTGTATTTTTTTGAAGGACCGAAGTTGGAGTTAAATATTTTTGATCTAACTCCAACACACTTAAAAATTCAGATTAATAAAGTGCAGAATAATTTCAAAATTAATTTGGTATTAAATTATATTTTTGTAACCTTTTGCACTATCAAGCCTACAGATTGGTTTGCTCATTAATTTTTTCGAATAATCTTAATCTTTGTTAACCTTCTCAGGGTCATTTACCAAGTTAAATGTTGTCAACCCAATAAATAATGCTTGGAACACCAACAAAAAATTCCTATCAACAGTATCTGCTGTTAATTTCAAAGAGTTAGTTTCATTTAAATGTTATTAGAATAAAGCAATATTTTCACAGTCAAAAAACACAAAAATAATAAAAATGTGAAACTGCTGAAAGTTGTTGAAACAAATTTGACAAAAGTGTTTTTTTTTCATTTTTGTTTTTGCTCTTTGTTAAAATTTGTCTTGGACTTCTGCATCACTTTCTCTATTGGCACACAAAAATCATTTCAGCAAATTGGCTAGGCATTTTAGTGTAGACAGACCCAACATCATGCCAATTGTATGTCATTTGTGTTGGAATTATATTTCCTATGCTAGCCAATAATTCATTCACTCCTTTTCTCATACTATCTATTTCAGAAATTTTGGATAAGCCATTTGTAAATCAACAAAATCATGCTACAAAACTTTTAGTTAACCATAATGGTTTTTTCTCTAAGTATCCCAATAAAAATAGCAACAATTGTCTTCTAAAATAGAACAAGCATTGCTGTTTTTTGTTTTCCATAGTTTTTATAAATTATCCTAGCTAATAAATCATATGATAATTGGCACAGCTTAGTAAATCATTCCCTCTGGTAAAATAGGAACCTTTAAGCTTTTCTACTAGTTTTTTAGGGTAGTTTTTTCTTGAGTACTTTATGACCAACCTGTCAATTTTCAAGAACTTCATTCATTGTGTTTTAGTCTTACCGTTTCCAATCGAAAATTATTTATTATTCTGAGACTACAAAATAGACACTTGTAAAATTATACTTTAAATTATTTACAGGTTACTGACTCCCAGTGGAACATCAAATAAACAAATAGTTCGAACCAGGGTCATGTTCAACCATATGCATGGTAAGCCAGAAAGTGTGCAAGATGTTGTTGATAGATTTTATAGATTGTATAACGGATTATGGATTCGTCCAAGGGCTGGCAGAAACAAAAAAAAGTGGAAAAAATCGTTAAGAAGGTTGCACAGACTAAAACAACATGTATTTTGTAATAGGACACAGTGTCGCATGCTTGATAAGGTTAGTTGTAGTTTATAAAGCTAGAATTGAACACAAATTTTTCTAAAATATATTGTATTTCAGATGGTAAATGTAGAGTACAAAGTGCCACACTACCCAGTTAACGACCCATATGAGGTCTACCACCGTAAATCTAACCTACCAGATTACAGATATATTCCACCAAAATATTTTCCATAATTAGTTTAATCATATATAAATTGAAAAATTGTTTTTGAACTTTATCAATATAATCAATGGGAATAGTTCATAGTTATTAAAAAATGTCCTAAATTTTTAAGAAAGAAGTGGAAAGAATGAGATTATCTATCGAATATATTCTGCAAGGAGTCACATGATGGTGTTTTTGAATTCACGGCGTGTTCATACATCCTCCTGTCTTGATAGGCTCTTGCTTGCCACATCATACTGTCTTCTATTTATAGCGTTTATTATTGTTAATTTGTTAATAACAAAGCTGTTAAAGCCACAGTATTTAATGTTTTTGCTATTATAAATGAATTTTTTACTAACTGTACATCTTTTCTCTATGACAATTAGACCTGAGATTATCAATATAATCTTCTTCTACTTCTTTTTCCAATTTATTGATATCACCTTTAAAAGATTCTGCAAAATCTTTCTTGACATAGTACAAAACATGCAGGTTATGTGTCTTTCTTACTTCAGAGTATTTTCTGCAAGTATATAATTAATGCATTAGTGTTATTGTAGATGTTCCTATAAATGTTCAGTCAAAAAAGCAAGTCTCAATTCTGAATGCTATAAAACCACCAAACAATTATAATGTTATCATTACTAATGGTATCATTAACTTCGTCACTAGTTTCGTTAACAACAAAATCGTTACATCAACTTTGCTATCAACTAGTCAGAATTTTGCAGCAAACAGTGAAATTCAGCCGCACAATGTCACATGGCAAACCCATTATTATCGAACAAAACATTTTGTCAATCTATTAAACTATTTACGACTGACTCACTGGGTCTGAGATAGGTTGTACGTGGGATCTCCTGATAAGAATGCAGTAAGAACCGAAATAAGGAGGAGGAACAAAATCGGACCAAGCTGGACCAACATAGCTGACCTTGACTAGATCACAAAATAAAAAATCATTTTAAATATTTACCATATTAGTTTGGTGGATCGAACCTGATTTTGATCAGTATGAGCGTGACGATAATGACTTCTTCTATAAGTACGAGTGCTGACTGAATAATTAATTAAAAATAAAATTGAGCTGAATGTGAATGCATTTATTGTCAGAATATTACAACAGATTTAAAACAGAAAACGTGCCACTGACCGTTGTTGAATGCTCCACCAAAAAACATATTAAACAGTTCTTCAGCTGATATGTCACCTGAATGATTAAAATATCATATTTAATAAAAGAGATGAAAATATTGTCTTATTCCATATGGCATTGTGCATTTGTGGGTTTCACCATATGAGAATCATAATTTTGGGTTTGTTAAAGTGTTTAAAGTAACAATAAAATATAAAAATGCGTTCATTGGCATCTCGTATTTCACCTTCATATTCATGAGCATGACGCGCATCTTCTGATTTCTCCTCGTTACCAAATTGATCATATCGTTTCCGTTTAGTGGGGTCACTTAGCACAGAAAATGCATTGGAAATAGCTGTTTGATTACAAAATGTTTGATTTCTTTAAGTAAAGTGAAATTGTGAATGTCCTGTTTTTCATAACATAATTTTTTCAACTTTTACGTCACTGACTAGAGTTAACTGAATTATTAACATATAATTTAATAATATTAATTTTTGTTATTAGTAATAATACGCTCTGTGGCCTAGAGCATGGTGTGAATTAATAAGCTTTGTGGTCTAAGGAGCAGTGTCAATTAATTTGTGCGTCCTTGATACAATTTTATTTAAGAGTCTACATTGTTATAATGTATAAAAATGTTATTTCTCAAGTGTGGTGTCATAATGATTGCTCAACGTTTAATGGCGCAAATTGCCTGAGCTAGTCATATCTAATTTTATAAAATATGTAATATGTGTACCTAAATATCGTAATTATTTGTTAATTTATTTATTTATTTATTTATTTATTTATTTATTTATTATATAAAAATCAAACCTTTAAAAGCTTCTGTAGCACCAGGCGCATGGTTTTTATCAGGATGAAATTTCAGAGCCAATTTTTTGTATGCTTTTTTCAGTTCATCATCATTGCAGTCTCGCTGCAGTCCCAACATTTCATAATAATCTTTACAGCTTCTTATGCTAATAATGTTTATCAAGGCATATTTAAAATGGTCAGGTTGATATTCAACAATGACTATGATATCGATGCCACTCACACCATTAACCTCATTTACTTATTTTTGTGATATTTTTTGAAGTTCTTTAACATGTTCAAGTCAAGGAAGGCATGGCGACCTTGGTGTTATCTATATTTTATTTTCTATCTTTCGGACCTGAATGCTCGAAAGATACAAAACAAGAATAGAAAATGTCGATGACGCCATACCCTAACTCTTTAATGCTAACTCTTAGTAACACTTCTAAAAAAAATAACTTAACCCCTGTTACATAACAAAATTTTTCCTAAATAAAAATTAATTTTGTTTTGAAAATTTACGCTGAGTATATGATAGCCATTGAGATGTTTGACTCGGCGAGCATTTGAACCACCGAGCCATCTCGCCAGCCAGCATGCGACAACTTACGTCGTCTACCCATTTACCAACCTCGAAAGGATGGACGGCTGGGTTGACCGGGGGTCGGCTACCCGGATGAATCTGTAGAAACTGCAGAATTCGAACCCGGGTCATGGGAGTGGTAGACGGATACGCTAACCACTCGGCCATGAGACCCCTTATGTTGAACCTTCAGACACTCCTTTAATACTCTGCAACAAAATCTTAAAACTCATGCTCCTGGAGCATTAATAATAATACTCAAACAACCCAAACTTTATGTGTTCTTTATTTCTCAACTTGAAAAATCATTTCAGTCTCATTTTGCTGGTACTAAAAAAATATTCTATAACTGAATGATAGGCTGTCCTACGTATTAAAGCTGGAATAGTTTGATAATCTTGGATACAATAAAATGTGTCTCAAGTGACTTAATCTAACTATGTTGAACCATAAAGAGGAAAAACAAATCATGATAAAATGTGAATATAACAGAATGTTGAAAATATGTCCATAGTATAATATGCAACCTTTTAACAGCATCCATCTGTTCCTCAGTGTATCTGTGCCTGGTGTTTTCATTATTTTCTGAAGAAGAAGGTCTCTTCTGTCTTGATCGACCTTCGGTTCCATGAGCACCGGGGGCTGTTGTATTCTCCCGGTCATTCATATCACCATCGTTTTGAAATGATAGTTTTTGAATGTAATCTGAAAAAAAGAACTTTCGATAGAAAAAAAAGAAAAATCATCTATATTGGGACTAAAAAGGTAAAAACAAGCAGCTATTTAGATTAAATAACTGACATGAAATGAGTGAATGTAATTATGAAAAAAATAATAAAATAAAAAGTAATTCATGTTCACCAATCTAAATTTTGAATTAGATTGACTATATATACTACATCTACTTGAAAAAGATCTCAATTGTAAATCAGAACATGTGACTACATGCTGTATTTTTGATATGCAATTAAATTAATCAACCTAAATTTCAAACTAATCCTTATTTGATCTTTATTGACATAGTTAATTTTGCACATACAAAAACTTAATATTTTACATTGACGATGATTTATATTTTATTTTCAACATTCACATTTTTTTAAATAATTTTACTGTCAGATTATAAATAAAACTTAATTCAATTTAAAATGTTTAAACTTTAAAACAACAAGGCATTCGTTTTTGTATTTTAATTTTAAATTATTCAATATGTAATTTTTTTGGATGTTATGACAATAAAATTTTACACAGAAAATTTGCTTCTGGGTAAACTTTTTCTATTTTTGCATTTTTTACTAAGTCTTATTTAAATTAAAACAGTAAAATAATGGTGTGATAATTTTGAAGTTTTGCATTTGCATTGGATCAGATTGACATTATTATTCATTTTTTAGCGATTAGCCACACACCCTTTAGTTTAATTAAATTAAAGTTTAAGTAGCCTGTTTAAATTGGTTTTATTAACTTTGGAAAATTAATTAATTCTAATTAGTAATTAGTTTTTAAATTTAAATAAAAAAGTGAGCTAAATCTGTTTTACAAATAAACAAACATATATTATAAATTATAATAGTTAGTATCTATAATAAATAAAATAATTGAAGGTAATGTCTGAATGTAGAATTGTAAATCCAATATTTCTATAATAAATAATTTATTATTCAGTGTGAAAATGTCAAAATTCAGTGTGAAAAATCCAAAAATTGCAATCGAAAAATAAGTATAAGACTGAACAGTCGACACTCGACAGTCTCATTAGATTAATTAATTAAATAAATTCATTTACTGCTACTCAGACTACTACTACTCAAATCTCAAAGCAAGCACCTTTGGTTCTCTGAGTCGGATATAGTTTTTCAGCTTTATAAAAATATTTTAATGCCTCCTTGTTGTTGCCTTTTTTGTAGTATGCGAGCGCAATGTGAAAACATCTTTCAGCCTCATCCCTGTTGCTCTCCATCGATCATCAAATCGAAATATCAACAATTGAAATAATTAAAGCCTCTGCATAAATATAAACAACCAAAAGATTACAAAAACAACAACTAGTGAAAGAAGCCCATATGACAGCCCTTAGAAACATATATGCATTATTATTATTATTAGAAAATTTATATAGCGCATTTTAATAATACTCAAAGGTAATATTACTTTCATACAGTTTTAATCCATTATCGACTATCCAACCATTGAGTTCATTAAAACAAGTATATCAACTAGCTCCTCGAAAGTGAAAACCAAAGAACTTGATCAAATAAATTGCAAGTCATTGGCAAACGCATGATATTTGAAGTTATATTTCTCAATGATTGGAAAAACATCAGCAAAAACAGAAGTGGTCTTAGAACGATCCCTGAAGAACTCCTGACACGGCAACTTCGAAATCTGACAAAACATTGTTGAAAAACTGCGTCCTACTAGTTAAATGAAATTTGAACCACGAGACTACCGTCCCAGAGACACTAAAAAAAGATATTTTTGCTTACGTATTAGTAAGGACTGATCAACGCAATCGAAGTCTGCGCTCATATCTAGCAAAGCCAAAAGAGAGACACTCTTTACATTCATTTACCCAAAAATTTCAGGTTATACATCCATCAAAGCCGTTTCCGTAGAATGGTGCCATCTATAACCAGACGAAAGTTGGAATCATACCTATGGCTATTCAAATAAGTTATGAACTGCACAGGAAAATGCGCTCTGATAATTGATGTCATCCTTATCAAGAGACGGCTTTATCAACAAAGGTGTAACAGCATATTTGAAAAATTTATGGAAATATCCAAGGCGCTATCAAAAAATGATGAAAAATGTTAAAAATGGGATAAAAGTTTAGTAGGATATTGCTTAAGAATTCGCGTAGGAATAACATCATTGATAAACGACTTAGAGGGTGAACAGAGAATCAATTTTTTGACATCTTCACCAGAACAAGGACCGAATGAAAAAAAAACTTTCGGTGTCCAAATTGCAAGAAAGACAAAAGGCTGGCTAGGATTTGCGTATTTTGTAATTTTTTCGTCAAAAAACATTGAAAATCGAGATGAATTAAGTTTATTAATTGAATCAGCACAGCCTGTAACGGGATGATTTCCAAACAATTTATCAGTTGTAGCCAATAACTTTCGGGGACAAGAATTGTTATCCTGAACCAAATCTTTGAAGTATGAATTCCTTTTACCGGCAAAAGATAACTTTTATGTTGCAGAGCATTTTTCAGGCCTTTATTGATTTCTTTAGGGTTGTGTCAATACACTTTTTCCAATCTACGACACAATCTTTCTACTTTTCTGTAATCCCTATCAAATCAAGGAGCATTGTGACAATCGTTGTAAACAACGTAATGCAAAAGAGCAATTCTATCAACAATTGAATGTCATCGACTAATTGAGTCGTAAATTGCATCAGGATTGCTGCCAGTAAACTGACCACCAAAGAAAGGTTAAAAGGTTAAAGGTCAATTACACTCTTCCAAAGTTCAGAAAATTCAACAACACGCCACAAACATCGTATATGAATACATGCTAAACGACGCATCACACACGAAGCAATGTGAAAGGCTGGGATATTTTTATCTTATTTGAATCCGGTTATTGCGAACGAGCACCAGGCAATCTTAACTACCAGGCCATCACGCCGATGTCATAGCTGATTGCGAAACAAAATTAACAAGATTAGGGTTAAAATGGCAGAAAGATCTACGCCTATTGCATATCGTGTGTGATGCGTCGTTTAGCATGTATTCATATACGATGTTTGTGTGTTGTTGATTCTTCAGAACCCAGGAAGAGTGTAGAGTAGCTTTTAACTCGCGTTTTCATACGAATTGAATTTTCATCGTCAAACACAAAGCCATCATCTAACAAGTTAAGCATACAGATTATTTCTAAGGTAATCGTTTATTTTGATGCAATTGCCTTTATTAAAGTCCAGGCGTGGAACAGAATCCGAAACAATGTAACTTAAACCAATTAATTTGGTTTTAACACTTAGTATATAGTGATCGCTTTCATCTAAAGAAGGGGAATAACTTAAATTTTGAGTGATATCCGATTCATAGAGAAAAATCAAATCTAAAATGTTATAAAATTATATATATAATATGCTGGAAATCTATATTTTATTTTATTTTATATGTAAGTACAGTTGAAATATAAATAAATGTCGCAGTTAGATTTTGTTTCTAACTAAACGTTGTATCACAATTAGGTCACTGAACTGATGCAGTTATTACTTCCTCGTTCGTTTTATACGTCCTCATTCAATTTTCTTGTTTGGCTTATGGCGTTTGAAGGATCTTGTGAGATTATTTAATTAAAATACAATAATTATTTGTTATGTTATAGTATTGCCGATCTAATCAAGCTTAAGGCATTATTTAATTAAATTATGAAAATTAATTTATGATTTTATTATATTGTAAGAATAATAAATAATTGTTTAAAAAGTTTATCAATTATTTTTAAAAATAAAATAAGAAGGTAACCCAAAGTCAGACAACTCAACTGACACTGCCAGTTGAGTTGCACTTGATCTCGATTGAATCAAATTGAAGCTGCCAGTTTTTGGCCATTATGTTTCATATGGTTTTTGTTTCAATCCAGTTTGCAAAGCAAAATTTATTTATAAGAAAACAAAAAACTGAATAAAGAAAGAAAGGATAGATAACCATGAATTCAAAAAATTGTTAGTAACAAATTTTTTAATATTGGTGAAAAATAAGCTGTTAAAAAGCTCCTCTACCTGTAATTTGTTTTCATAACAGTTCACAGATGATTTTGTAAAAGAATTTTTTTCAAAATTTGAAAGGAAATATAATAAATTAAATAAGATGTTAATAATAACATAAATGGCTTAAGTAGTTATTTAATACTATAAGTAAATATTAAGCATCTTAGTTTTTAAAACATTAAATTGAAATTCACTTGTCAAATTTAACTCTAAAGTACATTCTTATTAGGATGTGTTACAACATAATACACATAATCTTATTGTCGGGTTGTGATTAGGGATAGTTTAAATTTAAAATTACACTGATATTTTACCAGTCTGCTTTTAAACAAATTAAATTTTAAGAGAAGCATTCCAATGTATTTTTCAATCTTCATCTTCATCCATATCTCATTTTTTAATTATAATTATTTAATTTATTAATTTCTTACTAAGTCATTAACTAGTCCATTAATTAATTATTTTATTTATTTGTCTTTTTAATTAAACCATTATTTTATTTTCCACACTTTTCATGCTTAAACATTTTTTCTCCGTTATTTATTTTTCGTTACCATTTTATACTATTGCCTTGCATGTTGTAACAGTTTTTCTGTTGGTCAGATTCTGATTTTTTAAAGAATAATTAAAAAATTATTTAATTCTAACTTTAAATTATATGTAAATATGTTCATAATAATATTAATAATATATACATAGAATCATATAATATATATAGTGGCAGTTTAATTATCATTTGATTATTATATCTGAAAACTTATTGGAGTTTTTTGGTTTTCAAAAAGTTTAAATAATTTTTTTATTGTTTATTTGACATTAAAATTTCTACTACCCAGATCCAAAGAGTCAGCATGCCTTTGAGGATATTTATTTCAAAGAGTCCGTCATGTGCTCCTACTGTTAGGAATTTCTTCTAATAATTTGTTGATTATTGTTTCTCTGTTTGCCATAATGTCATAGTTTAATTTTTGGAATTTTTGAAATGAGCGCAACATCTTATATTTAAAAAAAACTACATCTTATATTAAAAAAAAAAAACAAATTTGTTAGGGATTGTTCCAAGTTTTAATTTTAAGCCATGTTTTATTTGCATGAATTTATTTAATGAGTGGAGCATTATATGTTTGAAATTTTTGATCCAGGCTCAGATTATATTTGGGAAGAGAGAGGTGCTGGCTCCCATTGTAAAGGTTATTTTTTACATAGATTATTCACTATGCACGTACACATGCACATGTTACAGGTTGCTAATTATTAATGTGTAAGTAGCTTTGCGTTTGACAGAGTTGAATTATAAACAATTTAAAAAAATTCAAATACTGATATGAGTGAGTTTTTCCAAAAAGTAAAGGTTTGATGCTGCAGCTAGAGTGATGAACATAAATTTTATTAACATATTGAAAGCTTGCAACTTTTTAGCGATTGCTATTGTAATATTTTTAGTATGTCTGACATTTTTTGTAACAATTTATTTATCAGGTTGTCATCAGTTCTATCATATCAGTTGCAAGCAGTTTGTTATGTTTTCGTGCAATGGGAACTACCAAGTGCAGAATGACGGATCACTCATTTCATATGAACCCATTGTTAGTTTTCATCTTTTCATCAATTTTTGCATACATTTTTGCTTTATGTTATAAATTTGTTTACTGAGGTTTCAAAATTATCATATGTAAGTGCACAAAAAATGAAATTGTGTTTCTATTTCTGACGAGCAATCAAATTCTGTAATCAAAATAATTTCTTTTAGAACGTTTTCTTTCACTGGATTTTGAGGCACCTTTTTATTAGTAGTGCATCTTGAAAGGAGGTGTGTTGGTGATTGATGAGAGGTGCAGAGTAGTGGTTTTGTTTTCTTAAATTTATGATTTTCATGGTTTTTAATAATTTTAGGATTTTTCTTCCTGGGGTGAAGATGACGTCATGGAGTGGATGGCTGTGGCAAACATCCACAGATATGCACAGGTGCAACTAGACTCTACTTTTTGCATTATTTATTCTGTTAACTTTTGACTTTTATTATTAAAGCATTAAGATCATAAAAATTTATTTTCATCATTGTTTTAGTTTTTTTTGTCATTGTTATTTTAGTTAAGATTAAGTTGCATAAAGTGGATACTAATTTCTGAAATCGCATCTATCACTATCAGTGATTGTAACGGAAAAATATGCACGTTGCTTGTTATTTACAGACATTTTTGAATGAAATGTTGTTTTATTTGAATGAAAACGTTGGAGAAATATTTTGTA